GTTATTTTTTGCAATATGAAATCAGTATTTCAATTTAATCCATTATTTAAACTCAATTTAGAACTGGAGTCAACTTTAATACTTTTCCCTAAACCCATTCTTTGTTCTGACCTTAGCATTTTGTAAATTTCCATTTTAATGAAATATAGCCCACGTGTCATAATTCCATATGTCCTAAGTGGAGTACATCCCAAATAGTCAAAGAGCCTTTATACAAGAATAAATAAACTTAAAAGAATCATGATTAGTGTAACGTCATAGTTCATACCCCTTCAACTAGTGGTAGATTTAAACATGAATCACTTGTGCAGATGCATAAGTTGCATTTACTCTTAAGTTAATTTGAGACATCTTTTAATCTGCTAGTTGTTCCGTCATCAGAAACCCAGATCATATTTGCTTTAACTTCAATTCATACTGCTTCTAACAAAACAGAAGGAGACAATAAGGCAGAAACCTACGTTATATCAGCATTAGAATGCAATCCAAAGCACTCTGGAGAATCAACAACAGGCAGTTCCGAAATTCGAGCCTGATATTCCTCAATAGTTCGTGCCTTCGGAATGGCATATCCATTGTAGAAGCGGAAATCATCGGAAAATAGACGATCTGTAAACCACACTTGCACGTAGGTGTTGAGTAGACGCTTATCGTAATCATCAGTGACTCGCCCACCATATTGGACCTCGCTGATCATGTATCGGAGAGTCGCCCAAGATATACCCTGCCAAGTCAGCTTATCAGGTGAACTCAAGCACTAATTCAAACAGGGGATTTTCTGGCACCTACCTTATGCGCATCCATATCATCCAAATGATTCTGAATAAACTGAACAGTTGAAGTGAAATCTGCTTGATTGAACTCATAGGGAATGTTCCACCCTATCGGTCCGAATTTGCGTCTCTCTTGAACAATGGTATGGAGAAAAGAAACTGCATAGAGCAGTGGTTTCCATTGGACAGCACTGCTTGCCTCTAATTGGTCCTCACCCTCCTGGCCAATCATAGCATAAGTACGGAGAAGTCCCGCTCGAAT